CAAGCAGGACTGGGCGAGGGATCCATGGGCGATGAGTTCCTAATAGTCTGGAACAAACCTCTACCCTACGCATTTTCCCCCAGTCCCACTATTCCCAGGATCCTGCACAAAATTCGATTAGACACAGCTCGAGTCATTTTAATAATCCCATCATGGACCAGACAAACTTGATTCCTGTACCTTGGTTCCTGTCAGTCAAGCCACTTCTCCCACTACTATCTCAACACGACTTTCTGTCTCAAAACGGGGGCAAACTACTTGACCGCCTGTACCTTCATGCCTGACTTCTCTATGGTTTCCTGGGTGCCAAATCCCAATGTTCAGAACAAGTGAGAACTGTCCTCCTCCATAGTAGAAGGCCATCCACTTGAAAGACTCAACCTGCATAAATGGAAATAGTTCGCGTACTGGTGCTAATGGACACAGGTCAATCCCTACGTGGCCTCTCTCCATCTGATCCTAGACTATGGGTACCATTTGGCTACTGGAGGAAACTGAGCAGGTGAGCAATATGATTTACATGGTATTCTGAGATTACACCCAAAATTGACCCCCAAAGTTATCTCAGGGAAACTTTGTCCCTATGGCAAATTATGTAAGGCAGATCAGCCATAAGGCCCCCCCAGTTTACCCTTTTTTCCTGATGAGGTGATGATAACCAGAGAGACAACCTTCATTGACAACTGAACTAAGGAGTATGAAGCCAAGAGTTTGAACAGCCTTTGTTAATGCTTTACAGGTCTACACTTTCAACTACCATATGGAGGAAGTTTCATTATTGGAGGAAAGATTCTGATGACCTTTTAGAAAGCATACTGTAACGGGATGGATAAAGATCAAGTGGTTGGTCTCCAGAGACAAAAGGCACGGATAGCTGCTAAGTGCACCTACAGAGAGCAGAGATAATCCTGAAGTTTTTAAGGAGAGAAGGTAGTTCAAAATGGTAGGGATGTCAGCACCCTCTTAGGTTATTGGAAAATGCTGGTACCACATGGAAAACTTTTCCCACTTCGCTGTGTAGAACTTCTCTGTGGAATCCTAAGGATGGATTATACTACCTCCAAATATACCTTTTCTAGGTTGTCATCCATTTAATCCCCACAAGGGATTCTGGTGTGAGATATTTGAGCATGTCTTTGTCCTGGGTCACAAGATCCAGGAAGAGTTGAATTCAGATGGTAATGCTGACATCTGGAGACTGCTGGCAAACTAGAATAGTCTTGGAAATATGGGAACAATCAATATCACAAATACTCCCTGTTACTTGATAGTCAGCAGAACTCAAGGTAAGAAAAGAATGGATGGGAAAATCTACCTTAGTGGACCCAAACATTGAACTAGATATGTCTTCCCTCTGGAGCAGTATATCAGGAATTTCCTATTATTTCTCAGATGCAAAGAGGTTCCAAGATGGGAAACCCCACTGCTGAACTATGTCCTATACTACCAACTCGTGTAGCTGCCATTCATGATCCATGGAGAGGGCTGTCTGCTAACATGCTGTATACCCCTGGGAGATGTATTGCTGATAGGATGATCTGGGAGCAGATACATTTACTCTACAGATTGACTGTTTCTATGCAAAGACCTTGCTCCCCCTGGTTTGCTGATGTAGTATTCTGTTGTCAGATGTGACTTGGACATGTGAGGTCTCAATGAAAGGTAGGAAACACTTTCAGGCCTCAAGAACTGACTATATAAATCAAGAGGTGTGAATTAAATCAAGCCAACCTGCCCTTGTTAAGTGAGGAAATCAAGGAGGCAGCATAAATATTTTGAATCTCAAAAGACGGATGAAAATGTTCAACTGTTCGATATTTAGAATGGATCCCAAGCCGCCTCTCGTCTTGGGAATGATCTTCAATAAAATTCTTTCACCCTATGTTGGAGAGGAACTAGTTCTATGAGCCTTATTATGTTCTAGCTTTCAGATCGTATTAGGGATGTAAGTGTCTAGTTGACTATCTGATAAGCATATACTATAGTTGACTAGAGACATGACTAGTCGCTTTCTCCCCCCCATTGCTGCCTCTATCAGACAGAGGCAGCAAGTGGGAGAGCCGAAGCCAGTGCTGGGGGAGCCATCTTAAAAGCTGGTTCCTCCCAACACTGTCTCCATGTGGTGGGGCAGGGCACTTATGAAATTTAGCAAGAGAGGGGCTCTTATATATTTCAGAAGCAAAGCGTGCACGAGGAATACAGGGCCAATGGGGGACTCAAGCAGTTCCCCGCTGTTCCCACGAGCCCTGCTTTTGAAATGGGCAGATGGGGCCAGCGAGGGATTGCTTGAGTCCCCTACTGGCCCCATGCTCCTCGTGCGCATTTCCATCTTTGCACCCCTTCCCCTGGCTATTGTTGTCTGGTGGTGACCCCTCCCTGGGTTCCTCTCCTTTGGGGAACAGATACCCTAAAACTCACCTCTTGCCTCAGAGGCCAATTACAGTCAGAATTGGTCATGCTCATCCCTGACAAGGGGGTGGGCCTGCTACCTATTTCTTTTCCCTGTCCAGCCCTCTGCAGCTGTAGTATCCTCTCAGGTCCTGCAGGCTAGGTCTACACTAGGCCTGGAATATTGGATTAAGGTACTCAAATCCAGCTATGTAAAATACATAGCTGGAGTTGCCATACCTTAAGCCATTGGTCACCAACCAGTAGATTGGGATCTACCAGTAGATCTTGGAGCCTCTGACTGGTGAGCCTGACTAGTTTGGCCAGCAAGCTATCAAGTGCTAGCACTTCAGGTGCACCTCCACCTACTCTCATGCTGCTCCTGCCTTCTACACTGGAGATGCCACTTGAGAGGCTCCTGCTTGTTGTGCAGGGTGTGGGAAGGAGGGGGGGGGGCGTTGATGTCAGGGAGTCCCTCTTCCTCCTCCCCCACTGCTGTATCCTATCTCCACACAGAGAAAAGGGGATGGAGGGAGCTTGCAATACAAATCTGTGTCACTCATACACTGTTTGTGTTTGTCATTCTCACAAACACACACTATCCTTCCCTCTCAGCTCCCATACCAAAACATACATGGTGGGGTAGTGTTACTTCTTTTACTGCTTGCAAAGTGTGTTACTTTTGGTTTTTGACTGTCCCTGCCCTGCACCTCCTCCTACACCCAACCTCCTGCCCCCAACGTGAGTCCCCCTGCACCCAAACTCCTTCCTAGAGCTTGCACCCTGAAACCCCTCCTGGACCCCAATCCCCCACCCTAGGCTAAGCCCAAAGCCCTCCCACACTCCAAACTCCTTGACCAGAGCCTGCACCCCTCAACCCCTACCTCGTGAAAGTGAGTGAGGATAGGGAAGGAAGGGGATGGAGTGAGCAGAGTGAGGCCCTCAAAGAAGGGGCAGGAAGGAAATGGGGCAAGGGTATTTGGTTTGAGGTAGATCTTACATTGCACTTAAATTGAAAAAGTGATCTTGTGTTTAAAAAGACTGGAGACGAAGCTTGGCGCTGTCTTCATAGAGGGAGTCAAAAGCATCAAACAGCTGTCCTTATTCCTCGTGACTGCCAGGAGAACTGGCACTGGCCAGAGCTGCCCTCAATGTTTGATTTTAACTAGAACCACTAAATTGAACACCAGAAGATCAGCCTCTGGCACAGTGAGTACAGACCTGACCTAAGACAATATCTGAGCTCAGGAGTTCATCAAACTGGAGCCCTGGCTTCTCCCAGCACTGCTTTGTTCCAGGTACCTATTTGTTAGGCAGCATTGTCCATCTCTTTCCAGAGCTGGAATGGCACTGAGCTCTCTGTGCCCAGCAGCCCATTTTATAGGGCTTAGCCTGACCATGATAGGCTGCCTTTAGCCTCCCTCTGATTGGCTCCTGAAACAACCCCTCTACCTCTTTTATTCTAGTGCAGCTCAACTGCACCATCACCGACTTGTTTACATAAAGAATTTGTTTATGACAAAATGGGGGTTTGACTCTTAAGTTTGAGACAGACTATCAATGCACATCAACGAAGTCCACATGAACAATCTGCTGGTTCACTTTGATCTAGTCCTTCCTGAAATGGACTAAATCAAAACAAGCTAACAAACTGTTAATGAGCATCAGCAGTAGATTCACACCTTAGTTTGCTGCAAACTAAATGTTCAAATTTTAGACAAACCCAAAAGTAAAATTAAATAAGGCCAGGTTCTGAGAATCTCCACTCAGAATTAGTGCAGTTTAATTAATCCACTTTTAAATTCATACCTTTCGTTCAATCAGATTAACTTTTGAAGCGTCCTGGGGTAGACGAGCCCTAAAAGTACACTAACTATAAAAACTATCTAATACTTATTTACAGATAATTACAAATAGAAGCAGTGCTAACGAATGCTACACATAGCAAAGGAGTTCTACCTCACATTACAGGCCATAGAAAGCAACTGGAGAGGCAGTCTACCCGCACAACCCCTTACTTATGTCCTCAGTTTGGAGCATGAAGGTGCGGGCACAGATCAACAGACACTGCTAGCAAGAATTTTCCATTCCCAAGCACATGAAGCATGTGCACACCCATGTTGTGATGATGGTCTCCATGTATATTATAAAGAAGGTATTTTCCTTGGAATTCATGTTTAAAATAGACATTTCTGCATACATTGGGTTTTAATGTTTATACTGGATCATCAGGTGTGAACTATATTCTTAGTTACTCTACACTGTCAGCTCATGGATAAAAATGGTTTTTATGGTAGCCAGACTATCATTTGCTTATACAGGTCTCATAATTCACATTGTCTGGACTTTGAGTCTTTAAAACTATTTTATTGTAATAATTTGTTATTATATACAGGGCTTCACATTCAAATTTACTATCACAGTTTATCTTCAGAACTCTGTCTACTTCCTTTATGTATAAAGTCTGCACAATACTTTACTTTAATCCCAAACATGCTATATTAGCAAACTATATTTCATTATAATACATCGATAAAAAAGTAAATTTATGTTATTTCTAGAAGAATAGTGGCAACAAAACGGTGACATAAAATGTCTAGTGAAGTACTTACCATGTTGTCTTTGATAACAGAAGGAGTCCAGCCTTCAAAGGCATATTGGGAATGAATGTTGTCTTCATGAAGACAATCAAAGCAGCGGTACACATCGTATCCATAATTCAGCAACATTCTTAACACAATTTCATCTTTTAAAGAATACTGCAGAGCTGAGGGGAAATGCGTTGTGTTCACTCTGCAGAAATAATTTACGTTGGCCCCATGCTTAAGCAGTAGATTGATTAGCTCATAGTTGCTCATTCTCAAGGCTATCTGAAGGCACTTAATGGGATCTTGATTTGGCAGGGCTCCAGCATCCAGAAGTAGCTGAGTTGAGCAAATATCCCCATTTGAGACAGCAAAATATAAAGCCGATTTCCTCTGGTCATCATAGCCTTTGCAAACCCTCTCATGCAACATGAAATTGGCTTCAAACCCAGATTTGAGAAGAAATTCCAGGCACTGAGGATGTGCTCCTGCTGCTGCTGAATGAACTGGACTTATCCCGCTCTTCTTAATGGCAGCATAATCAGTAACAGAAGCTAATTGCTTTAAAGCTCTGCAGAAAAAAAACGAAGGAATTTTTATAGTATCTAGGACAAACCTTTGAACTTCTCAGTGCTGCAGTATTTGTTACTTGTATCTTGGGTTACAGAATTCTGTTCTTGGCTTCCATGTCTTTCTGTTGTAATGAATTGTGTATCTCTACTTTTCAGATCTCTGTTCTGTTGCTTTGTACATTTTTAATTTACCCTTACATACGTTTGAACTCTGTTGAATTAATTGCACTGCATTTAGTCTGAAAACAATTGCTCGTTTAACAGAATAACATGCATTGCAAACTTCTAATGAGGGTGTTTCATTATTGTGAAGATTTATATTACAATAATGCCCAAAGAGATTGGAGCCTTGTTGCACTAGGCAATGTACAAACACATAGGAAATCAAGGAGCTTACCTCAAGAGATTTACAGTGAGAGAACAAAACCCCAGCTCTTGTTCTAATATTCATGTTTCATGAAGAGCAGTCACAGTACTGTCATAAGGAGGAGGGAGTTAAACAGAGATACCAGTTGTTACTGGATATTTACAGTAACTGCTGTGAAAACCCTAGTTCCTTTTCCCCTCAGGTGCTGATGTCCTTTCACAGGCAGCTGATTGTGCTTCTATATTATTTGAAGCTGCTGGAGGAGGAAATCCAGATTCACTATCTCTCCTACTAGAATATGGAGCTGATGCCAATGTTCCCAAACACTCAGGTCACTTGCCTATCCACAGAGTTGCATACAGAGGACACCTTCTGTGAGTTGAAATGACATACTTGAAAAATAAGAATGAATAATGGTGAATTGGTTCAGCTAAATACACACATTTAAAACTAAACCAATGAGAGGGTCAATGGAGGCAGCTGTCCTGGGCCTCAGAGCTCCCAGTTGCCACTGCTGCTACTGCAGCAGTGATGGCAGCCAGAGCCCCAGGCCCTTTAAATCACTGCTTGAGCACTATGCAGGTTATCTGGGGCAGATGTGGTGTTCTCCAGGCAGCACTGACGGCTGCCTAGCCCCAACCCATCCCTTCTGGGCCTGGAAAAAGGATCCACTCCACCTTGCCCAGGGGATTAAAGAGGCTGTCGGCCCCATTGAGGGTGGATAGTTGGTTATCATGTAATTGTCAGAGGTTAAGGCCAGTGCAGATGTCTAATATGCCAGGGTACTTATTCAGTAGTAAATTAACATTACAGGCAGTCCCCAGGTTACGTACAAGATAGGGACTGTAGGTTTGTTCTTAAGTTGAATCTGTATGTAAGTCAGAACTGGTGTCCAGAATCAGCGGCTGAATCTGGATGCCAGTACCAACTTACATACAGATTCAACTTAAGAACAAACCTACAGTCCCTATCTTGTACGTAACCTGGGGACTGCCTGTAATGTTAATTTACTACTGAATAAGTACCCTGGCATATTAGACATCTGCACTGGCCTTAACCTCTGACAATTACATGATAACCAACTATCCACCCTCAATGGGGCCGACAGCCTCTTTAATCCCCTGGGCAAGGTGGAGTGGATCCTTTTTCCAGGCCCAGAAGGGATGGGTTGGGGCTAGGCAGCCGTCAGTGCTGCCTGGAGAACACCACATCTGCCCCAGATAACCTGCATAGTGCTCAAGCAGTGATTTAAAGGGCCTGGGGCTCTGGCTGCCATCACTGCTGCAGTAGCAGCAGTGGCAACTGGGAGCTCTGAGGCCCAGGACAGCTGCCTCCATTGACCCTCTCATTGGTTTAGTTTTAAATGTGTGTATTTAGCTGAACCAATTCACCATTATTCATTCTTATTTTTCAAGTATGTCATTTCAACTCACAGAAGGTGTCCTCTGTATGCAACTCTGTGGATAGGCAAGTGACCTGAGTGTTTGGGAACATTGGCATCAGCTCCATATTCTAGTAGGAGAGATAGTGAATCTGGATTTCCTCCTCCAGCAGCTTCAAATAATATAGAAGCACAATCAGCTGCCTGTGAAAGGACATCAGCACCTGAGGGGAAAAGGAACTAGGGTTTTCACAGCAGTTACTGTAAATATCCAGTAACAACTGGTATCTCTGTTTAACTCCCCCCTCCTTATGACAGTACTGTGACTGCTCTTCATGAAACATGAATATTAGAACAAGAGCTGGGGTTTTGTTCTCTCACTGTAAATCTCTTGAGGTAAGCTCCTTGATTTCCTATGTGTTTGTACATTGCCTAGTGCAACAAGGCTCCAATCTCTTTGGGCATTATTGTAATATAAATCTTCACAATAATGAAACACCCTCATTAGAAGTTTGCAATGCATGTTATTCTGTTAAACGAGCAATTGTTTTCAGACTAAATGCAGTGCAATTAATTCAACAGAGTTCAAACGTATGTAAGGGTAAATTAAAAATGTACAAAGCAACAGAACAGAGATCTGAAAAGTAGAGATACACAATTCATTACAACAGAAAGACATGGAGGTTATATATTGAAAAAGGCTCATTTACCAAATCACTTATTTTAATACATTGCCTCTGCCAGGCCAGGGACTGAGGAACCTGGGAGTAGAGATTTCCCCTTCAATAGAAAGTATGGGGGGGGGGGGGAAGATCTGGCTTATGTGTGCTTCCACACTCCCTGTATCTTGTAAAAGTGAGAGTGGAACTGGGCTTGTATGGGGATGGAGAGGCAGCAACAAAACCAATATCTACAGAAGGAGCTTGCAGGGCAGGAGATCAGGCCTGCTGCTGATTGGATAGAAACAAATCTATCCTCACCTTTTAGCCACTGCAGGTCCCCGCAGAGGCAGCCCAGCCCAGGGAAGGGAAAAGAGCAAATGGGCAGGGTGTTCAGTGCACAGGACACCAGCCACCAAGAAATTGCAAAAGTGTCCATCACAGTCTGGAGCTGACCCCCTCCTCACTGAGTCTGAGATCCCCTTGCTCCCTCTCTTTCCGTATTCACTGAAAGCTTCTGCTGACCTCTTCCCCCCACAATGCTCGTGCCTCTGCAGATCCACACTGTGATAGTGTAGGCCCTGTCACATACTGATGGAACACATTTCAAGGCAGTCAGTGTGGGGGGGACTGCATGCATCCCCCTTTATTCCAGTATTACAAAACAAAGGGTGATAATTGGGGTCATACTAAATTCATGGTCCATTTTGGTCAATTTCATGGTCATCAGATTTTAAAAATCAGAAATTTCATGATTTCAGCTATTCAAACCTGAATAGGGTTGCCAAGTGTCCAGTATTGGCCTGGACAACCTGGTATTTTCAGCCTCTGTCTGGTAAAAAAAAACCAACAGAATACACAGGGGATTTAAAGGCGCAGTGACCCTTTTTTATTAGCACGGGGTTTTTTTTGCTCAACCAATTTTTTTCCTGCCATGTTTGGTATTTTGTGTGGAAGTATCTGGCAACCCTAAATCTGAAATTTCATGGCTGTGTAATTACTGGGGTCTTGACCCAAAAAGCGAGTTTGGGGGGGAGAGGGGCTCAAGGTTAGTGTAGGGATGGTTGTGGTACTTCTATCCTTACCTCAGTGCTGCTGCTGGTGGTGGCAGTGCTGCCTTCAAAGCTGGGCAGCTGGAGAGCAATGGCTGCTGTCTGGGACCCCAACTCTGAAGGCAGAGCCACTGTCAGCAACAGTGCATAGGTAAGGATGTCAGTATGGTATTTCCACCCTTCTGCACTGTTGCCTATAGAGTTGGGCCCTCAGTCAATAGCCACCACTCTCCAGCCACCCACTCTGAGGGCTACAGTGGGGAAGTGAGTGTGGCATGACATAGTATAGCAACCTTTACTAATGTGCTATCTTTACTAATGTGCTGCATGTCTTCAGAGCTGGGCACTTGCCCAATATTTGCCACTCTCCAGCCACCCAGATTTAAATGTAGTGCAGAAGAGCAGCACAGCCCTCTCTAAAATAACCTTACAACCCCCCTGCAACTCCTTTTTGGGGTCAGGCACCCAATTTGAGAAATGCTGGTATCCTCTGTGAAATCTGTATAGTACAGGGTAAAGCACACAAAAGGCCAGATTTCATGGTCTAATACATGTTTTTCATAGCCACAAAGTAGGTAGGGCCCTAGTGATAATACCCTCCAACCCAAAGTGTCTCACTCCCTTCCCTAGATAACTTGTCTACATGGATACATGCTATTTTATTTAAGCATGTTTAAAAACACTCACATTAGTGGACACAATGCTGACCACCAAGTTGTGGTCAGCATATACACACACAATAACTTTGTGGTCAGCATATACACACACAAGTCATATGACAGCTAGTAAAGGTTAAACATCTGTCCTAGAGATTATGTTTAAATACAACATTTTCTTAAGTATACAAAGTTTTTACAATCTAGATCTGTGGAAACAACATTATGAAGGAGAAACAAAAGTTACTGTCTTAACAATAAAAATCTTGATGCTTAAATTGACAAGGTGGGTGAGGTAATATCTTTTATTGGGTCAACTTTGGATGGTAAGAGCTTTTGAGCTTACACAGAGCTGTTCTTCATGTCTAGGAAATGTATTCAGAGTGTCACAGCTAACTATAAGATGGAACAGATTGTTTAGCACAAATAGTTAACACATATTGCAAGGGCCCATTTAAAGTGAAGTGGCCCATTAATATGACATTTACATTTTTTTCATGACAAAAACCATGGCAATTAAGAGGACAGGGAAATGCAATTATCTTGTCTTCCCCCATCCTCAATGTAATATACTATAGGCCACAGTACAAGATGAAGTCTGAGCTGAAGACTGTAAACTCATAATGTACATGCTGTAACTGTAAACAAAGACCAGGTAGATTTAGCCTGGAGTTCTCTGTGGGAAGGAATATATTTAAAAATTTCCACCATGTTGTGTTTATGCATTTATGTTGCTTGGTAACAAAGTTCCTGTAGTTGGTGATATCCCTTTAGTAACAAATGTTATCTGTGTTATGTGTAAAAAGCATGTCACATGATGATTATTCTAACTACAAACCTTTTGAAAGACTTAAGGAATCTGGACAGATATAGTAATCATTTGAAAAGATAACATAGGATAGATATCTTAGAGCCGTGGTCACCAACTGGTCGATTGCGATCGACTGGTTGATCATGAGGGCTCGACCAATTGATCGCGAGGCGTTCAGGGGCTCCCTTATATTCCCCAATCCTCAGTAAGCCCCACTACCTACCTCTGGTGAAAATGGAGGTAGTACTGGCTTCCTGCAGGGTGGACTTTCTGGGAGTTCCGGAAGTGCGCTGGCTGCTCCCCTCCCTCAGGTCTATGGCATGCCGGAACTTGAGAGGGGATGGGGGGGTAGAGGGACCACAGAGGAGGCATGCACTGGGGCTTCCCTCCTCTTCGGGAAGGGGAGTTGGCCTCGGAGGAGGCATGCATGGGGGCTTCTCTGTGCAGTGGGAGGGGAGAGTTGGCCCCGGAGGAGGTGCACACGGGGGCTTCCCTCCTCTGCTAGGGGTGGTGGTCCTGGAGGAGACTCTCTGCCCCCACTGGTACCCTGTCCCCTGCTGCAGAACCCTGCCCTCACTCCAGCACCCTGTCCCCTGCCCCCACTAGCACCCTTCCCCAGTACCATGTCCCCTGCTCCCACCAGCACAGTTGGGGCCACATTAGTGAGGCTTGGGGGTTTTTTGGGAGGAGTTTTTTTTTTTTTTTGCATCTCCCTTGTGTGGCCCCAGGTTTTTTGGGAGGGGTTTTTTTTTTTTTTTTTTTGCATCTCCCTTGTGTGGCCCCAACTGATTTTTCTGTGGGTCAGTGACCCTTCTCATAAATAAAGACAATGCAGAAACTTTTTGTGTTTGACATAGTATTTTATTTAAAAATGAAGCCTGGTCAACGAACCCCCAATTGGGGCCAAGCCCCCATATGGCCGCAGCATTATAATACTCCTGCATGCCCCAGACCCTAGATCTGAGCCTATCATACACTGGAACCCCCTGCCCTGAGCCCCTCACATACCTCAACCCAAATTCCTGAACCCTCACAGCCACAAGCCTGGGGCTTGCTTAGTACCGCTACCCTCCATCTGACCCCAACACTCTCCAGCCTGGAGTCCCCTCCCTGAGCCAGCATCCCCTTCTCCACCTCTTCCTGCATCCAAATTTCCTCCCAGAGCTTGCACCTCTCACCCCTTCCCACACCCAAATCCCTCATTCCCACCTCAGAGCCCACACATCCTGTCTCAAACCAGTGAAGGTACAGCTAGACTGCAGGAGTTTTTCCAGGATTCCAGAGATATCCTGGAAAAACTCTTCCACATCAAGGGATGCATTTGTTCTTCTGCTTTTTTTTAGTGGAAGAGCAAACATGCTCTTTTGGTAATCCCTATATTCCTCGTTCCACGAAGAATAAGGGGGATTCCAAAAGAAGGGTTTTTTTCTAACATTTGGTCCAGTCTAGACAGGCCAAATGTTGGAAAAGCCTCTTCCTACATAAGAATGGGAAAAAAAAGTGGCAGTGTAGAGTGTATAAGGGCTGGGGATAGCAAGTGATGGGGAGGAGGAGAATAGAGAGGGCGGGTCTTCAAGGAGGGGGTGGGGTCTTGGGGGAAGGCTGAGGCGGTAGATCTTTGCTTGTGCTAAAATTTAAAAAATGATCTTGGGTGTAAAAAGGTTGGAGACCACTGTTTTAGAGGAATATTGAAATTTAGTAGATTACGTAATTATACCAATTAGTGAGCAAACAAAAACAAGACACAGTGCAGAAAAAGTTATTCCTCCGTGTTAACATACACACCTTTGAACATACAAAATGACTGCTGTAATTCACTCTAAAACAATCTACATAAAACCATCAATTTACATACTAGGTTGTATACATTAATACCTGTCCACCATGTTATTAGTAAGAATATCACAAGGCCTTCACTTCCATTCAGAACCTTATATTGGTAAGATAATACTGTGCTGTCAGGGGAGCTAGCAATTGTACATTGCCACCACACAGAAAATTATTCATGCCCTTTATGGGAGGTGGATTCATTTACTCACATTTTGAAATCATGATTTTTCTGCCAGCACACATAGTTGTGCAATTTCAACCCCTTGGCTAGTCTAAAGAATAAAAGAACTCTGTAGGATCTGACAACCATTAGTTAAGAAACCGACATATTGAACTGTAAACAAAAATAATGCTCACCTTTTCGCAGTAAAATTTCCATAATTCCTGTATGCCCAGTCTGTGCAGCCAGTGCTAGGGGAGTGAGCCCATATGTACTGCGGGGATCAGGATCAGCTCCAGAACAAAGCAGAAGGTTCACCATATCTTTCCTGCCTAGCCTGGCAGCTTCATGTAAAGCTGTCCTCTTATTGACACACTGCAAATTTACATTTGCTCCAAACCTTATCAGCAGGGAGGCAATTTCATATAAATCATGTTTAATTGCTGTAAGATAATAGGTGAAACATCAGCTATTTAAAATATTATTTAACACTATTCTACACACTAGTTTCTGTTAAAACAAAATACAGGACTATGTAGCACTTTAAAGACTAACAAGATGGTTTATTAGATGATGAGCTTTCGTGGGCCAGACCCACTTCCTCAGATCAAACAGTGGAAGAAAATAGTCACAGCCATATATACCAAAGGATACAATTAAAAAAAGTGAACACATATGAAAAGGACAAATCACATTTCAGAACAGAAGGAGGATGCGGGGGAGGGGGGGAAGGAAGGTGAATACCTGTGAGTTAATGATATTAGAGGTGGGGAAGGGTAGATGTCTGTGAGTTAATAGTGTTAGAGGTGATAATTAGGGAAGCTATCTTTGTAATGGGTAAGATAGCTGGAGTCTTTAATTTCTGTTGTGCAGCTCCCAGCACCTTTACCGTGCTGGAGACTGAATGAATTGAGCTCTGGTAGCCAAGTCCCTGATATGCAGAAAATCACCTGACATCACTGAAAAGCCCTGATGCTGGGGGAGAGGAAGTATCTATTGTTCATTAAAACAAGTGAGGTTGTTAATGTCCAAAATTATGAGATGCTTTCAGATTTCCAAAGGGGTAAAAATCTTTCAAAAACAGACTCTCTCACAATACTGAGACACTTCATTTGCCAATGAAGGATTCTGAAAAAAAAAATTAGCCAAACTTTCTTTGAACTTAAAAAAAGGTGCGGTTCAAGTTTAAGGGAAAGATTGTGCAGTTTCTTATTTTATCTGAGCTGATTCACCATCCCTAACATGGCCTCTAGTGACGGCTCATCTACATTACTGTCATACCTGTCTGTAAACTTGTTTAATAGTATAGACAGGTCCTTACTTAGATTTTCAGAAAGCCTTTGACAAGGTCCCTCACCAAAGGCTCTTGTGTAAATTACATGGCCATGGGATAAGAGGGAAGGTCCTTTCTTGAAAGACAGGAAACAAAGAGTAGGAATAAAGGGTACATTTTCAGATTGGAGAGGGGTAACTAGTGGTGTCCCCCAAGGGTCAGTCCTGGGACCAATCCTTTTCAACTTATTCATAAATGATCTGGAGAAAGGGGTAAGCAGTGAGGTAGTAAAGTTTGCAGATGATTCAAAACTGTTTAGGATAGTCAAGACAGAAGCAGACTGTGAGGGACTCCAAGAAGATCCCACCAAACTGAGTGATTGGGCAACAAAATGGCAAATGAAATTTAATGTGGATAAGTGTAAAGTAATGCACATCGGGAAAAATAACCCCAACTATACGTACAATATGATAGGGGCTAATTTGGCTACAACAAATCAGGAAAGAGATCTTGGAGTTATCGTGGACAGTTCTCTGAAAACTTCCACACAGTGTGCCACGGCGGTCAAAAAGGCAAATAGGATACTAGGAATTATTAAGAAAGGGATAGAAAATAAGACCCAGAATATCTTACTGCCCCTGTATAAAACTATGGTACGCCAACATCTTGAATACTGTGTACAGATGAGGTCTCCTCACCTCAAAAAAGATATTTTGGCCTTGGAAAGGGTTCAGAAAAGGGCAACTAAAATGATTAGGGGTTTGGAACGGGTCCCATATGAGGAGAGGTTAAATCGACTGGGACTTTTCAGTTTAGAAAAGAGGAGACTGAGGGCCGATAAAGAAAAGTTACTTAATAGTTCCCTAAATAGAAAAACTAGAGCACACCAAATTAAATTAATGGGCAGCAGGTTTAAAACTAGTAAAAGAAAGTTCTTCTTCACACAGCGTGTAGTCAACCTTTGGAACTCCTTGCCAGAGGATGCTGTGAAGGCTAGGACTTTAATAGAGTTTAAAGAGAAGCTAGATAATTTCATGGAGGTTAAGTCCATAAAAGGCTATTAGCCAGGGGATAAAATGGTGTCCTTGGCCTCTGTTTGTCAGAGGCTGGAGAGGGATGGCAGAGACAAATCGCTTGATCATTGTCTTTGGTCCACCCTCTCTGGGGCACTTGGTGCTGGCCACTGTCGGCAGACAGGATACTGGGCTAGATGGACCTTTGGTCTGACCCAGTACGGCCGTTCTTATGTCCTCAACTGAACTTCTGAAGCATGCTGCAGTCTTTTATGGTGTTAGTCTTTAGAATGGTTTGGGATTTAAAGGATTGATACCAACTAGGAAGAAAAATAAATGACAGTATTCCTCTGTCTCTCTCATGGCCAATGGAAATATATAAAATTCTGGAAACTGGAAGTTTTACAGTCTTTACAATCGACAACAAAAGATTGCAATGTACAAAATACATTTTTCATGCAATGAAAAACATGAATAGAATTTCCCTCAATCGGAAAAAGTATATGATTTACCTATAACTAAAGAAGAATCTCCTTCTTCATTCTTAACATTAGGGTTGCAGCCATTGAGCAGGAGAAAGTGGACATTGTCTAAGATGCATTTGTCTACTGCTACAAAGAGAGGAGTTTCCCCTTTCAGACTGGTCTGTTCCCACACAATGGGGTGAGAAGCTGAAAGATACCCAGGAGAACAGCACACATTGGGAACGGAACTAATCATCCAAACTGATTTAGTAAATCTTTCAAGTGGGGAGCACAGAGTGCTCTTTACCTTTCAGAGTTATTTCTAGGATGTTCTTGTTTAATTGTGCTGCAGCTTCATGCAAAGGAAGCCAGCCTCGCTGATCTGCTTCCTTGAAAGCAGAACAGTGCCTCATCAACTTCAGCAAGACTGCCTCTTGGCCTGTAGTATATAGAATCATACCACACTATTTAGCATAACACAGAAAGCTCAAGGCACTTGAAATCTAGACTCCCACTTACATCAGAGAATATTTTAAGTATCACTAACCCCAATACTACAGTCAGAACTGGCAACTTTGCTTCTCAAAACAATTTTCTATCAAAGGTCGATTTAAATGAATGTAGAGCTAGTGATAGTGATTTATATGGACTGATTTTCTCTAGAGGATTCATCACAAAGCACATCAGAAGCTGCATATATCAGAATTATAAGCTTACAATCAATCCTTAATTAGGGCTCCTATGCTACTATAATACAAATAGTAAATAAATAGCATAATAAACATTTGAAATTCACTTGCCACTGAAACAGAACATGACAGCTACTGAACAGTTCAAAGGCTCTCTACACAAGAGTTTGCAACATGAAGTTAATACTTGTTCAACTGAAACCACATGTTAAATTTCAAAAATGGAAAATAAAATTAAGCTAGAATTTGAATAAGACACAAAGCTACTTTTACTGTTTCTACTCTTGCTGAAAGTGCCATCAGATCTTTGGGCATAAGGGGTCAGGTCTACAATTTTGCATGTCATCTGGAAGATGGAATCCATAGTAGCACGGGTTCTTAGAGAGTAGGGGGAAGAATGCAACCTACTGAGTCATTAACAAAGCTTCCTAGACTAATCACATTAAAATAGAGTGGTGATGATTTGTGTGTTTGTACTTAACTGCCTGTATTGCTGCGATTATTTTTCCATGTTCCGCACTTGTGACAAATGGGAATCTGTACAAACAGAACAAAATTATTATAATTTAAATCAGTTAGGGAAATTATGCATGTTATTACAGTACAAATAAATGAATCAATACTGTAACTATCTATGGCTTAATAACAGACCAGTACGATTTTGATTTGTTTTGTAAATAACTATTTGCACCATCTACTTTATTATTTTACTTACTTATTTTCTGTTATTTGCTGTTTCCCAATCTGCACTAGTTACTTAGTCACTTATGCATCTGATGAAGAGGGCTCCAGCCATTGAAAGCTTATCCCCAAATAAATGTGTTAGTCTTTATGGTGACACAGGACTCCTCATTGTTTTAGTCACCTACTTTGACTCAGTGAAACACATTCACTTTGAAATAGGAGCTGAAGTTCATATTCTCTCAATCACAAATCCTATCCTTTGTAACAAAAATTCCAATGATGAACAATATAGTAAGAGCTCAGTTTAAATATAGAAAAATAATTTGTACTGCTTGTTAGAGCTGCACAGAACATAGGTTTTTTTCTTTGTTAGAGACTGTACCAATATAAACCATAACTCTGAGTACACATATAATAATCTTCAAAAAGTACAAATACATTCTTCTATTTCACACTTCTTTCCCTCCCAAGAGCTATTTGGAAGTTCTGTGTTTGTATAAGGTGTGTGAACTTTGGCCCTCCTTTTGCTGAATGCAGTGTAAAAGTTTAAAAAAAAACCACAAAACAAGTTTCAGGTGTTCTCAAATTTCACTTGGGACAATTTCAAAATGCCCACTTCTATTAGGTGTACATACACATAAGTAACATTAAGCAAGCAGTCTACAATGGCAAGCATACTGGAACTAGGGGTGTAGAGGGTGCTGCAGGACCCTCTGGCTTGAAGTGGTTTCCATTATATACTGATTTCCAGTTTAGTTCAACAACTCTTAGGACTCCCACTATAAAAACTGTTTCAGAACCTCTGTGTTTTGGTGCAGTGTTACATGTAAAAATACTAACAGAAATAGACTGTAACATAGCTCCCAGTTATGCTGCCAGAACATACTTCACAGCAAAGCATTACCTATCACTCTCTGCAGTATCAGTAACGGTATCAGTTTTCTGGATATGCTGCAAGCTTTGTTGAATGATATTCTGGATGGGGATGTCATCATCAAAGTCTTCATCATTCAGATATGTAGAAATAGACATTTTATAACTTGGATCACAAGCAACAAGAAAAAAAGTTATATTATTAGGAGGCAATTTTTAAAATCTTCAAGTTAACTGTGGATTTCCAGAAACAGCAGAAGCCACAGAGGAATTAGGTACTGAAAGAAATATGAATTGTTAAAAATCAGAAACAATCCTCCCCGTCTCGAGTTCCCCCTTCCCCCAGGCCAGGTACTTTGTTTTAAATACTATAAACACTGTCAACTGTTCTGTTTGGTGCAGGAAATATGTTCCAGTACTTTGGTTTGTTATAGTTCCTTCCTCTCTCTTACAGAGCAAACATATAGAACAGCTAGTGTTAGGGCACCATCTACAAGAAAGCAAAAAAAGAAGTTACTTACCAAGTGCAATTACTAGGTTGCTTCAAGATGTGTGTCCTTAAGAGTGCAGCATTTCAAGTGCAGAGGCACATGTGCACCTGAAGTGGAGGACCTATAAGAACACTACTCAAAATAGTACAAAACCGCCAATTAATTGGTGGTATAAATGGCCCCTCCCACTTCTGTCATTTTAGCTCTTCTCTTTAGTGGCACCATACTGCTAGGTACTCTAGAGAGTACTTGTGTAGGAGAGGATTTACACTATTTGCTATCATTTCCCATACTCTGCTCATGTCATGCTTGGCAGTGGGGAAACAATTCATAGATCCCTGCTTTTGCTCAATATCTGCTTCAACCAAGTAGCATTTAAGGATATCATTTACCATCAGAAAAGCACTGAAGCTCTGTGTAAGAGTCCATGTTTTAACTGTCCCAGTGCAAACCACACCCAAGTATATACATCAGAACTGCCAGAAATTCTGATCCATGATATTGCATACATCCAAAAGACCAATTTGCAGAACTAAATAAAAGCTGTCTTGAAGAGCACTACATGTCTGTGCTTCTCAGTAGTACTACAGGACCTACATACACTTTTGATCTACTAATTCTAGATGAAAGCTGCAATCAACAAGGCCTTTGTACAAACAATGGAGTAAACAGTGAGCACCATATTAATTTGACCAATATAAGGATATGGGAGAATGGGATTAGTAGAGATCAATGTTTGCCAAATGGAAAGGATTAAACTAAGTAAGGGGAACTCTTTTTGGGTCAGGGGCCGCTGACTCTCAGAAAAATCAATCGGGGGCCCGCTCACAAGTGAGAATAAAGAAAAACCTCTCCCAACTGAGGAGAAAGGCATTCCCCACATTCCCCTTCCACACTAGAGCCTAGGGGACCTAGGCTAGTAGATTTTGTGTTCTCTGGGGTCGCGGTGGGGTAAGATGGGGGCTGGAATGCTAGTGCAGGCTCCCCAGTACTGTGAGGGGAGCCCTGAATCTCAAAGGCTGGCTCTAGGAAAGCTGCGAGCCACATCTAGTGCCCGGCCTGAGGTTCCCCACCCAATTTGAAGACTGTATTACACACAATGGAAAATAAAAAATAAAGTAACTAGCATTCTCCTTTTAAAACCAGGTAATTGGTTTAGATTTTAATTTAATGGAAAGAAATTCTAATTAATGACCAAAACTATGGAACTATACAAGCAAGACAAAAAAAATAATTAAAAGTTACAAGACCGTTCTAGCACAGCTTTCATAATAAAACTTAAAATTTAAAACATACAGTGACTGCAATGGCAACGAATGGTTGCAAAAAAAGGGGGGGGGGATAAAAATGCATATGCAGTTGCTAGTAGAGGGCCACTTTACATGTGCACAATTTACTAATTGCTACTTTGTACAATAAAGTATATGCCTCATTATTTATAAAATCAGTGTAAATCTGTTAGGGCCAAATCCTAGGGTCTGCTTTTATTCAGACAAATCTCTCATTATTGACTTGCAGGGGAGAGTCAGCTTGAATAAGGACTTCAGAACTGGCTCCTATTTAACCAGAAACAAGACACATTGAAAGAAAATGTCAGCACAACCATTGTAGAGTTTGGAATAATTCTAGAAACATTTTAAAGTTGAGCAGAAATGTTCACAAACAGCTTGAGTTATTTAATTTGTTACCTGTCCAATTTACATATATTATCCAATTTACATTTATATTTTATCTCCTGTTTATATATGTATAGTAGCTAGATGAATATATTCATAAAACATATAAACAAATGTTTGTATTACAGGCAAACTCAAATTGATCAAAATACGAATAGTCTGTACACATATAGTCAGTCTAATTATATTGCTTTTGGGAAAAATCTAATACAAAATCTCACACCAAAAGCTCAAAACAAAATAAACATTTATCTCACCTTTTTTAGTTTTTTAAAAGAACATAGAAGACCTCACTGCTTTAAACAAGTGATTATTAAGTTGAATGTGATATTTTCATGTATTGAAAAATGATCTCTGTAGAGTCCAGATCCATTAATAGCTCTCTAAAAATATCTGATCATAAGATCCTCTAGGACTTTCTCCACATTTCTTATAAGTGGGTTAGTTATGTCTGGTGACATGATTTTGATGAATTATGTATCAGTAAAAGAAGAGATTAAAGGACCAAACTTCTTGATTTAGTACTCCAGATATAATTATTTTAATGAGAATTCATGTTTAAGGGAAGTAATATGTTCTCTCTACGTCTGATTTAAAGAAAAATCTCTGCTGCTTTCACATGCTCTCTCAGCATGGGTTAGATTTAAGGACAGGACTGGTTATTGGGAGCTTGCCTAAAGGAAATGTGAGAGACCATCTCAAACTCAGACTTTACATAAATCAATATGTTTACATATAAACAATAAAATAATACATCAACAAAGGAAGTTTATATTTTTTTAAAAAGATAATACTATGACATAAGTTGCTCACAAAATTTCAATATTACAATGTTCACATTCAGATAAAGAAAAGCAGAGAGAAAAAGAGAGAAAAGCAAACCTGTATTTGATATTCCTCTAGCCCCAACACATAGCTATCAGGGACAGGAGGCACATGCAAGACTGGGTAGGAGCAAAGTTAGAGTAGGGTGGGACTTTCTCATTTCAAGAGTCTTGAATTTCCCCACTTTGCAGCAACCTACAGTACTCTTTCCTCACAAGCACATATCATCACCAAAGTATGTGCCTTGCTTCAGAGCCAGAAATTAGCCCAAGTGTTCAATTCTTAGGAACTTGTCAGTTTACTAAGGGTTAAAAAAAGGGTTGTAGAATTTCTAGACACAGACAAGAGAAATTTGAACATTATATGGAAAAATATATCAAATGAAAGTAGGGCTGGCAACAGAATTTATCAGGCCCAGAGCACTGTGTGTATCATAAAATCTCGAGTATAATGCACATTTTTTTCCCGATTTTTGGGGGGTCAAAGTCGGGGTGTGCATTATATATAGGAGTTATTTTTTTAAGTTTTAAGCTGACAAACCTGTAAATAGCCCCGGGCCGGGGAACTCCCCCTCTCCTCTGCACAGAAACTTTCCTGCTGCAGTGCAGCGCGGGGGCCGCTGCCCCACCAGGCTCACGGACAAGGCGAGGAGTCGGTGGCGCTGCCAGGCTACAGCGCCCTGGCTCGCTGCCTGCCCGGTGCTCCTTCAGGCTGCGGCAGGCGCGAGCTCAGCATGCGGGCAGCTGTCCAAGGGGGTGGGGGGGGCCAGGTTTCAAACTCCGCCGCTGGCTCCCCGGGCTGTGCGCACATTTCCCGGGCCAGCCTGTGGGTGGAAGCGGCACGTACCTCCCTCCCACTCTCCTGCAAGCCCAGGGCCAGCTCCGGGAAATGGGCAAGGCTGGGCTTGGTGCTGGCGGGTTGGCTTCTGGGTGTGGGCCGCACACAAGCTATATAGGAGTATAGATATATAGGTGCAGTGTAGGTACGCCTTATATATAGTTCAAATTGTTTCATTATGCTAAGATTCAAAAGTCAGGGTGCGCATTATACATCAGTGTGCATTATACTCGAGATTTTACGGTATGTGGGGGGCAGGCGCGGGGGAGCTCAGTTCCAGGCTCCTGTTAGGGGAAGGCCCTTGGGTGGAACGATTGAGCTAGGGCTAGCCAGCCCTCAGCACTGCTCAGACTGCACCAAGTAGGGCTCCTAAAGGGCCTGGATCCCCAGGCCCTTTTATATCATTGGGGTCAGGGGCAACAGCTCCATTTGCTCCCACCTATTGGCGGCCCTGATTGAAACTGTTTTAACTTGAACTGATTTTTTTATGTTCCATTTTACATCAGCTTGATTCTGCATACTAAGCAGATATGGGGCGCACTAATTTGCTGAGGTGGCTTGTATTTCAACTCCCTTCCAGATGGCATATTACAGTTGAATAAACTGCAGAGAAAATGTTAAGTCTATTCTGTGGAATGCTTACCCGGCCTAGTTTTAAAAGGTAGTGGGAATGGCTCTTTCAGAGAGAAGCTTTAGAAGTCCTAAGAAAAGAACTCTAGGAACAGTCAAGTCTAAAAGAACGTTTTAGCTGATTGTTATCTTATTATAGTTTTCTTTTTAATAATGCCAAATCCTAGGAAGAGGTGTGCATGTGTGATGAATTCGGACATTACATTATATAACAACTGTGTTTGTAAGCAGGATGCAAAAAGTAATTTTTTATGGTATATTGTGGGGATTTTGTTGGGGCTATTTATTTTTAATGAAAACTATTTAAAAGGAGCCAAGGAGTTTAGAATATTCAAAACAGTCCAATTAATGATGGATTGGTGGAAAATATGCAAGTTAGGAAGTCAACGGTGCAGTTTAAATTCAGTTTTATCAGATAATTAAACAATTTCTCTCAGCACCGCCTATGTGTTAATGAACATATTAAACATTGATCCAAGCCAAAATACCAGATCTGAACCTCCAGACTTTATACTCTTATGGTTCAGACCTGAAGTGCTTAAATGCTGTCTACTATAATGCTTTCCATATGGAGTTGAGACAACATTCATTTTTTCTTATCCAGATGTAATTTGTGATAGTTTAATAAGTGACAAAAGATATCTGTATCACTATTCATGACACTATATTACAAAATAATAAAATGAACACTCCAGATTATTATATATTTTAAAAATAGTAACAACATCTTCCAAAAATTTAATTCAACATTTCAGAATCAGGAAAAATTTAGCCTGAGCCCTTCAAATATAAATATAACAAGATGTTTCTCTGATACAGTGTGCTTCAATTCCTCAGTGAAGAAAGGAAATGAAAGATATGTCTACTGAGGTTTCCTCCGAATTCTCAAGGTTAGTCATCCAGCTGGCAGAGCAGAGCAACACCTCGCTTGACCCAGTGTTGGACTGGTTTATCAGTCTCTAGCATTAGTGCAATGACAAAATTAGTAGAATGTCCAGTAGTGGATAAGGTACCCTTACGCTCACTTGTCTTGTAGAGTGGACAAACATAGGCACTAGTTTTCTTTATGTCTGATTTTTTAGCTTCAAAAAGAACAAACAAAGCAATGAATTATATACTGTAGATATACTAGATGAATTGAAATAATTTAAAGTAAAAATAAAATATTATTTGATTTATTTTTATAGCGGAATAAAAATTTGACAAAATATTTTCACCCAGCAAAACTTAAAAAAATATATCCTTGCTTTGATTTTTTTAAAATTATTTTACAATATTTATATAGGCTACTAGAGGAAGTATATTTTCTATTGCTTGTTTACAAGAAAAGATGCCTTCAAATACAACCTGCTTTTCAAATCTTTCAAAGAGGTATTCAAATCTAAACAGTTGCATAAAATCAAAACATTCGACTCAAATATCATCAGGTTATAGTTTACATGTAAGTTCAATAGCTCTTCATGTAAAATTCAGTCTCCAGGACAACTTTGATTCAGCAGCTCCAAAACCTAGTCCTGATTCAAGTTGTTTGATTTACAAGGCTGCAGCTCGGCAGGAACTGTAATAATGTGCCCAGACTGTGTGTACGCATAACTCACACAAAGGTTTATATCATGTTCTTCTGACATCAGTCAGCTTCAAAGAACAGATCTCCAATGTCAACAGAAGGGGTAGATGGAGAGAATGGAATACTTTGTGAGGTTGATTCACTACTAGTTATAACTATGTAGAAACTAAACCACCATGGCAAATCTTAAAAAATCTCTGCATTAGGAATTTTTGAAAAAGATCAAAGAAAGGAGGAACCAATCACAGACAACAAGTAGATGTCAGAAAAAAAACATTATCAATATTTAGCCATTTATGGACAGTGTTTCTGCAGCAGTAAATGATACCTTGAGCAACATTTCAATATGGAGTGAAATCTTGGCCCCAAGAAAATCAGTTGCAAATATTGCCCTGACTTTTATGTAGACAAGATTTCAACCATTATGCTCTCTTCTGAAAAAGCCTATTTATGCCTAAAAAAACCACATGACGATCCAATTTGAAGGCAGTAAAATTCATTTCATACAAATGTCTATTTCACAGGCCCCTCTTTTGTCCAATCCATGCTAACTAAACATTTGTGAGGTAAAAGAGCCACATACCAGATAAATTTCAGATAAAAAACTAAGTCAGCCAGTGAAAAGGCATGATGTTTGAAGGCAAACCATTGATCATGTCAGATGAATGGACCTGTAAGTGCATATGGATTTTTTGGTGAGAGAGAAGGGTTGGTCTTCTAGCAATATTAAAGAAATACATAACTTCTGTCCCTTGTGGCATTACAATCCAAAGAAATATTGGTTCCAGACCACTTTACTTACTTGGTTTTATCCAAATGATTGGCATTGGATCAAAGAGCAACTTGGGATGCTGTTCAGCTAATAGTCCCCTGGTAAGAGAAACAAAGAAACAAAACATAATTTTTATGAAAGGTATAATTTTAAAAATATATGGTTTTGATTTTACTTTATTTGTTGAGTAAGAAGGAAAAAAGGAAGGGTTGGGATGAGAAAGGGGAATGGAGATGAAAGGAAGCAGGAAGAGAAAGAGAAATGTTAGGACAAATATAGACAATGAAAGCAATCTGAAAAGATGTAACAAAGGAAGAATGAGAAAATGAAATAAAAGAAGAGAGGAGGGGGATGCAGAACAGAGCTTGAGTACTTCCCTGTGTTTATCTTTCTTAAAGATTTCAGTAAAATAATCAGATAAACACATTTCAATAAAAAGCCATATTGTGCTCTGACCTTTGTTTTTAATAAAACATGCAGGGTTTTTTTGCTTAGCTATACTACCTCTAAAAGCAACCATTATCTTGTAATAATGTGATCAAAATATAAAACCGACTGTAGGTTTTGATTTTGTGCAGCCACTTTTGTTTGGGTAAACAATTATGCAAGTGGAAGTGGGTATATATCTGCTTTATTAGTTCAAATTGAGGTGCTCAATGCTTGGGTGCCAAATTTGTGTACACTGAGGGAAGGTCTCCACAAGAAGTGCTATATGAGTGAGTACAACTGTGCTGATACATCTGTATCAGTGTAGCATGTATGGTGAAGGCTCTCTATGCCTCTCATGTCGGCATAATTACTCCACCGCTGTGAGAGATGGAAGCTGTGTTGGTGGGAGAGCATTTCCCACCAACGTAGCACCAGTGTGGACAGTACTTAGGTCATTGTAATCTGAATTACTCAGTGGGGTCTTTTTTCACATCCCTGAGCAATGTAAGTTACATTAACTACGGCAGTAGTTTAGGCATGCCCTAATGCACTTCAGGTATGCACAATTGCAGACCAGCTGTAGTTGGTTGAAAATAAGATCCTATTTGCATGTTGTACTTTCCTGATTGTCTAGTGATTAGTTCCAACTACTCTGCACATTAGTTCCGAATATTTTTTCCTAAAATGCACTGCTTCACTCCACTGGAAAAAAATTATCTGAAATTTTCCCTGGGTGCCTTTTAAAATATTAATTTTGAGGATGGTTGTGGCCTGTACCCTTTTCCATCAATTTAGAAACCCTAAAAGTAGCAAGTAGGGATGTGAACGAATAGTAGAGTAGTCAACTACCTGATAAGCAGGAACTTATTGGGTAGCAATATCGACTACTTAAGCACCCCCCACCCCCGCCGCTCTGCACTCTTAAAGGGACAGAGAGAAGCCAGTGCACAAAGACACTGACTCAGTCTCTGGTCCCCCACTGGGTCTCAGGACAACCCTCCCCTGCACTGCCACTCTGCATTTTTTAAGAGACAGAGCAGCGGCAGCCAATCCCGTGGATTTCTCTAAGCACAAGCTTCTGCTGAGAGACAAGTGGGACCGGCTGCCGCTGCTCTGTCACTTTCAGAATGCAGAGTGGCAGCGCAGGGGAGGTTTGTCCTGAGATCTGGCGGGGGAACAGAGACTGAGTCAACATCTTTGCACGCCGGCTCTTCTCTGTCCCTTTAAGAGTGCAGAGTGGCAGCTGGGAGTTGTGCTGAGTAGGGATGTAATAGTGTAGACGATTAACCAATTAATCAATAAGCAAAAGCTTTTAGGTTAATGCTACAGACTAAACGCATTTCCCTCCCGCTTGCCAGTACATTTTTATCAGGCTGGCCAGCAGCCCAGCTCAGTTCTGGCTCACGTCGGGTCCGGGACCTATCCCTGCTGTGGCTTTGCATTTAAAGTGTATTAGGAGCCAGGTGGGCAGGCAGTCCACCTCAGTTCCTGCTCGTGCTGGGTCCAGGAGCTCAGACCCCCACCTAGACAGCGGCTGCTGCCTCCCTGCATTACTGCCTCTGATACAGTGGCTGCTGGCCTTGCCCTCAAGGACTCTAGAATCATAGAATCATAGGACTGGAAGGGACCTCGAGAGGTCATCGAGTCCAGCCCCCCACCCTCAAGGCAGGACCAAGCTCCGTCTACACCATCCCTGACAGATGTCTATCTAACCTGTTCTTAAATATCTCCAGAGAGGGAGATTCCACCACCTCCCTTGGCAATTTATTCCAATATTTGACCACCCTGACAGTTAGGAATTTTTTCTATCAATTGATAAGAATTCATGAGGTTACTCGACTACTCAATTAACCGATATTTAACATCCCTAGTGCTGAGACTCAGCGTGAGTCAGAAGTGAGCGCTTTAAGTGCCCTTCCTTAACAGCTACTCAATGGAAACTCCATTGACTACTAGACTAGCAAATTAATCGCTACTTAACATCCTTAGTAGCAAGTACCATATTTGAGCGATTGTACAAGCAGTTTACCCATAGTGAGCTGGCCTTCTCTAGTGCCTATTTTCATCTAAGCTACCTCTGCCCTAGGTGACTCATCCTGAGTATGCCCAGGTTGGCTACAGCAAAAGGATAGGTTGGATCCACCAGCTGCTCTGTGTTTGAAACTAGGAGAGTTGTTCATGGACTGGGGACCTGATGTAAAAAACATACTCACATAGTAAGTACTGTTGGTTTGGAGAGGAAACAAAACTATTCACACACAAGATATATAGCCCCTGAAAATCTGTTTAAAAAAAATCAAGTCCTTCTGAAGTGTCTCAAATTGGGCACCTGGAAACTGATCCAACAAGAATCACTAGTCACTTTTGAAAATCTTGACCATACTGCTTTGTATGGTTCTATGACTCATGTAGCAGGGCAATTTCATGAAAGAATACTATTTTTATTACAACATTCCCAACACTAGAGTGTAGCAGATTCACTGTGTTTTCTTGTCAAGATCTCATAGAGGACTGAGAAGATTTTAAATTAGAGTAGGTCATTGGAGTGTTGAAATGATGTTAAAATATTTCAACAGGTCTAATACAAGCACATAAGAAAGCACATTTTAGGATTAATGTTATAATTTAAAAATGTTAATCACTGACTTGTCCCTGTCCCAGCGAGCTCCATCTAAAAATAATCCATAGATATAAACACCATCTTCTGGTGCAGTATCCGATGTATCCTTAGGAATAACCTAAAAGGAAATAAGTGGTGTTACATGATAATACGATAATAATAATAGTACTACTATTTGACATGGTTGCAAATCTACAACTCAATTGTCAATCAAGGTCTTGATCCTGCAATGAGATCTCTGCAGATGAACTTGTTTGATCAGGCACAAGGTCCAGCTGGTATCTCCCATGGAAGTATCAGGACCCATATTAGTAAAATATATTTTTATCACTTATGCATACCTGAAATTCGTATCCCAGAAGGTCAATGGGAATGGTGTACTTCCTGGCATAGTTCTGCATGGCTCCAGTTAAAAAAGCTTGAGTAAAATAGAATCCTGATAGCCAAAAAACACTGGGCTTTCCTAATTCATACCAGTCCTGGGAGGAGAAAGAGAGAGACTGACTTTCAACCATCTTTGCTACCAGCATAGGCCTAGGTAGTATTAGAAGTTTTCCACACAAAAATTAAATATTCTTCACAACCTTGTTTAGAAAGTCTACATATAAAGAATCAATTTTTATCAGCCCATGTCCAAATCATCCTTTAATTTTAAATCAACTGAATTATTAGTAACACAATCCATCTTGCTGTACCTGCAAGAATTTCAGTCTCGCTAGAAAATCTAGGATATAGCTTCCCAATGGTTTAAGACTTGGGTATGAACGGTTAGCCCAGTTCTCAGCAACTTTTCCAACAAGCAGACTGCTGCTCAGGGCTTCCAGCTCAGAATCCATAACGACCAGTCCTTTAATGGCCTTTTTCAGATTTATTAAGGTAATACGTATAGTTCGAATTAAACTAGAATTAAAGAAAACAACAAGACCTGTCACTAAAATAAAACAGGTATGACATAATATGTGAGAGGTAAAGTCATCATCTTAAGAAATATTATTACATTATTGCGACAGCTATGAAATAAGTGTAACCAGTTTTTCCTCATTTACAACTAGCCTTATTAGCAAAATTATAGTTTGTGCCCACACTGATTTAATAGACATTTTCTTTTGGTTTTCAAAATTTAAACTGAGGTACCATGTCCAATGGCTAGAGTATGTGACAGTCAAGGGACTTGAGTTCTATCTGAAATACGCCCACAGCCTTGCTCTGTGGCATGTGACAAATCTATTAATTTCTGTCTCATTTTCTCCTGGCTTCAAAGGTTCCTGGGAGATTTAACTCATTATTAAGAACAGGATTCTGTCATGAATGTCATAGATTCTGTGACTTTAATGGACCTCTATGATTTCTTTTGCTTCAGATCACCACAGTGGTAGGGCTGGAATAGCTGTCAGTCCCCACTCAGGAGCAAGCAGCAGTTGGTGGTCAGCGTCCAGGGCCAGAGCAGAAGTTCAGGACTTGAGCAGTAGCTAATCAGCCCCCACCGCAGAAGCAGCAGCTGGAGTAGCCGCCAGGGCTGGGTCAGTCCCCAGGACCAGTGCTGCAGCCACCGCTGCAGGAGCAGTCACTGGGGGCAATAGTCCCCAGTGGGGCTCCCACAGTTACTCCTCTCACAAGACATTTTTAGTAAAAATCACAGATGGGTTGCAAGACTCCATGAATTTCTGTTTATTGCCTGGGACCTGTCCATGATTTTACTCAACATATCTGTGACAAACTTACTCATTATGAACTGCAAAGTGCCTGAGATGTCTATATGGAAAGCGATATAGAAGTTCAGCTAGTTAAAAATAGTTGAATGCAAACCAGAATCTAGATCCAAGCAGTGCTGGATCCAAAGCCTGATTTTGCAGCTTGCTTCCATCAATTTAGTGAGCTACAGTAAAAATCCTGATCAAGAATTCCCCAGTCTTTGGGAAAATTCATGGGAAGATCCAATGCTCCAATGCAAAGTCCACCTTCTGGTTTAAAAAATATGAGAAAATTACGCAATGAAAATTATTGGGAAATAATGGTCCAATGGCAGCTGTATAAATTAATCCTTTCTGTTTAGGATATATTTCTGCTAAAATAGTTGAAGACTTAATAGGGCATTGTGTTTTATGCATTACTTTGGATTTCATAGGCTCTTGCCTACACTGTCCTGGAAAGAAGTTAAAAAAGGAACTAAAATCACAGAATCACAGAATCATAGAAATGTAGGACTGGAAGGGAACTTAGTAGGTTACCTAGTCAAGTCCCTTGTATGTAAGGCAGAACTAAGTAATAACTAGACCATTCTTTACAGGTGTTTGTCTAACCTGTTCTTAAAAACCTCCAGTGATGGAGATTCTAAAACCTTCTTAGGCAATGTGTTCCAGTGCTTAGTTGGAACAATGTACATACAATATGGGTATGGAGTAGATTGGATAGATAGGTTCAGGTAACAAGTGTGGGGAGGAGGAGAGTAATAGAAATAAGAGTAACTTGGAGACAAACAAAGTAAGGGGAAAGATCAAGGAGAAAATATGTGAGGCAGGAAGAAATAAGAAGCAGACAGGGACATAAAACAAGAGAAAAAAATAGGAATTGGGTGAAATGGGATGGAGACTGAGGACCCACAGGAAAGAAGAGAAAGGAAGGTTATAGATGACAGCAGAGAGTGGAGGTGAGGGTATAGGAAGAAAGGGGTAACCAGGGAGGAAAGAAGGAAAAGATTGGGGCACAGATTTAAGCAGGTGAGAAAACAATAAAAACGAGAAAAATAGGAAGAAAAGAGGTAGAAAGGAAATGTTACAAGCATAGGAACAATGAGACCAAAAAGACGACAATGGATGGAATAAAGAAATGGAAGTGAAAAATAAAGCAACACAAGACCTTCCCCATTACATACCTTATCTTCCAATTCATTTGCCATTTAGATATTTTCCCTTAAATACAATCTATATTCTGCCTTGCCAAATAAAGGAAAAGTGCTGGGAATGCAGATGCTACTGAAGTGAATCCCCCCCCCGCAAAAAACCAGAACAAAAAAAACAAAACAAAAAAGTCTTCAAAATAACAGAGTCCACACTGGATGTCTGGCAGAAAAGAGATCTGCTGTGAATGGATTGATTGAAAGTACATTTGAATTAAATTAATTCCCTTACTTGTTAAACCTCTCCATTTCTTGCACCAACACAGTGTTCATACTTTCCTCATATCTCACAGGATACTTAATTAGGGACGCTTCAATGTCGAAATCATTTGGAAGCTGCAATTGTCAATATATTTGGATAAATTTTGATAAGTGCACATTTTAATTTATACTTGTTTCTAAGCAATATTAAAAGCAAAGAGGCCCAAAGCAACTACATAAGTGCCACAGTGAATCACTTATATTTACTAAAACACCCTCCTGAATATTGATTGGTCAATACAAATATCTTGAAAATCATCGAAAATGTAAAAATAAATGTAAATGTTTTAACAATTGCAAAGTTTCTTGCAATATTGAACTGATTTTCCCCCAGGTTATTTGCTCTGATATCAATCACTCCTTTCTACTCTTAGCTGCTCATTGACACTTCCTTCACTTTAGACAGGATTGTGGATAAGCACTTCACTTCCACTTTGTGTTGGACAGCTTAATTCTCCAAGTTTTTTCCAGAGCAAAATGAAACTTAGAAATCAGAGCTTTAGCACATAGGGTAGGGAAAAGAAAACCATACTACAAAGCCAGTGTTTTATTTTTAAAAATCACTATTCTATTCAGATTATTATGCCATGCTCATCACTGCGATATTTGCATACTTCTTAGCAAACAGGATTTAGATTAACTGGACACGGTTAAGTTTGTTTCCACTCCTGTCCCTTGATCATGACGTCTGTGAGAGTTTTTGTTTATTTTCTGAGTAAATTAATGTATATTTCTCTTAACAAAGAAATGATGTTATATTTGAATGGAACTTGGTAAGATTTGGTGTAGTTCTAATGGAAAGTGGGGAACATGACACATCACAGGGCAAGCCCCCAAAAGAGCTGCAAGTTGCTCAGTTACTCTGAGTGCTGCTGAGAAAGTATGTAATTGCAACTGCATTGTTGAAATCCCAGAAGGAGGAAAAGAAGGTACTTCTTTGGTCACTGGTCCCTTTGAGGCCCAATCACCTGTTCAATAGCCTATTACCATTGTGCAAATAAAAATCTCAAGAAAGAACGTTAAACTGGCCAGATAATGGTGGGAGTATTTGTTATTCTAATAAATTATTACACTATTTGTCTTTCTACATTACCTTACTGAGAATATCATCAGCAATTTCATACAGAGTGCTGTCACCACCTCCTGAGGAGCCTCCCTGTGTGCCTCCTCCTTGTGTTACTATCAGAGATTCAAAGAGGAGTTTTGTTTGCTGGAGATCCTTTGAAATATCCACATTTTCATGCAACCCAAACACCTCTGGCTGTTGACTAAATGGAAGATTCTATGGAAAAACAGATTAAGCAAGCAATATGGTATCATTAGATACACTAGTTAATTAAGGTCCTGATCTTAAGCTTATTGATGAAAATACTTCATTAATTTCAGAGGATACTGAATTAGGCCTAGAACCATGACCTCACAAATACTGAATACCTTGACAGTGGCTTTCTAGTCTTTATATAAAGCCCTATTATCTACCTATTGCTCTTCTCATCAAGTTGTACACACTTTGTGCAACAAAGGCTAAGAAGTTTCAAATACCAAAGTATCTTATATTACAACATACCAGCAAGAACGGCAAGGAAAGAAAGAAGATGGGCATGCAATGAAAAATAAAGCACACACAAAAACACTTTTTAAATGTTGAAAGGCCCAAATCCAGGCAGGTTATCTGCTTAGTGTATCACATTTGTAACTTTTCAAGACTTTGCCACCACGTTTAAAATTTTTGATGATCTGTGAAACATACCAAGAAAAAATTACAGCCTCATGCACAATCAATAGGATCTAGGTAAACTGTTTCCCTTTCTTATTACCCAGTTATCCATCTTCTGCACAATTCATAATTCCAGAAATGTGTTGGTAGAAAAACACCTCTTGGCCTCAACATTAGAGAGTAAGACTTGAAAAACTATTCCAAGGAGTAGATGCTCTAAGAAATTACCACCTCTTATTTCACCCAGACCACTTTGTGGTATGATCCTGTCAGATTTCACAGTCTAAGGAGAGTCTGGCTAGGTCAGTGCTTAAAAAGAAGAGGTCTCAGAAAACATTTAGTGCAGAAAGGAGTACCATTTGTGATTCAGTATTATAGGATTCTTCTCCCTGGGACAGTACTGAAGCAACACATGGACTTAGAGCTTACTAAATATCTTAAGTCACTTTTTGCAAAAGCAGGAGTACTATCCCTAATGTTCTGCCAAAGTGCAACTAAAAGTAGTTATATTTTATCTGTCTAAATTCCCTTGAGGTTTCAATTCCTATTCAAAATTAACAGTGGACTGTTCTACAGCCTCTGTGCTCTACCCCAGAAGTGGCTGTATTTCAGTAATGTGAGATATTGAGAGAATTAATTATTATTTTGTAAAGCAATTTAAGGTCCTTGAGGCAAAGGCACTATACGAGGGCTAAATATTGTTGTTATAGCTATGTCAGCATTTTACTATTAGAAAAGGAATGTTACATTCACAGAGAAGTAATTTTTTAACATTAATGAAATATCAAATTAAAAATGACACCTATCTGAAAGAATTTTCTTTTTGAAATATTCACTAACGCAGTTAGACAAAATATTATGTGAGCTTCCATGGTACAAAGAACCCAAGTTACCTTAATAAATTCAATGTAGTCCTCATAGGTGCCTTTTGGTGGTGCATAGTAGTTGCCACTGGGTGAAAAGGTGTAGCGTGGGTTTTTAATTACATCTGGATTATAAAAATCATCCAGCATAGTTAGTAGTAAACGTCTGTCCCAATCATCTGTCACTCGTCCTCCATAGTTACATTCTCCCGTAAGATAAGATATAGCTTCAAATGGAACTTGGTCATATTCATTTATGAATAGCTGAAATGAAGAATATAGTAAATCTAAGACACTTTACCAGCCTGAAGCCATAAAAGCCTATAGTTAGAGAAACAGTATTATCTGATTTTTATTATTAAACTAGCCAATTAGCCCATCATAAGACGGGATCTTCAGGTCTCTCCTCCACGTCCGTCTTCTCTCCTGAGCTTCCGGTCTCTCACTCCGTGTCTCTCTTCTCTCTCTCTCTCTCCTCCTCCTACTGCCTCTCTCCCTCCCCCCCCCTTAGCTCTCCTCCCCCTCCTCCTTCTCCTCCCCCTCCTGCCTCTCACTCAGGGGACTGCGGAGCCCAAACGGTCGCTTGCGCCACTTGCAGCGGGGGAGATAGGGCAGGGCGAGTGGGGCAGCTGCCCCGGGCCCCGCGCTTCAATAGGCCCCGCACCAGCGGGGTCACTTTCTATCTTTCGCCACTAGAGGGCGCCGCTGCCCCAAGCCTCACAGGGAAGCCACGCGATCCTGGGAGTGGGTGGGACCTGGGCAGAGAGATGTCCAAGCGTGTGGGCAGTGCTCTCAGGGCCCTGTCCCACAGAGCATTCCCCCAACATCTGCAGTTCTGTCTCTAGAGCAGCCCGGCCAGCCCACAGGCACTCTGGGGGAGTCTCTGCTGGCGGGTGGGTACCATGATGCGCCTTTCCCCAGCTCCGCAGACCCAGACACGAGACCAACTCCTTGAAAGAGTAAAAAAGAATAAAGCGGCAGCTTCTGCAGCCTGGCCCCTGGGGCGACTCTCCTGAGAGGCGCAGGAGCCTGCAACATGGCGCTGTGCCTAGCCCCGCCCCACCCCACATCTCCTGCCCCCCAGCTGCCGCCCGATCCTGCAGCCAGAGTCCTCTGCCCCAGCATGGGAAAGGGTGGTCTCGGTGTGCGGGAGCCCCGTGAGCCCCACAATAGCTGGTCTGTGCCTGGGCGGGGGCTGGGCATCGGGGGCTGTTCCCTTCCTGCTGCCGGCACCCAATCGTAGAGCAGCTGGAGCAGCTGGGCACCGGGGGCCCACACAGATGCCTTGGTGCAGACACAGGGCGACTGAGCCAGGCAGTTGCCCCCAGCCAGAAGGGAGCCAGCCCACAAGCTGAGCAGCATCAGGCTGGCAAAGTGCTCTGCTCGGGCCACTCCTGGGGATGGAGGGTTTGACAGTGGCAGGCGTGTTTGCTGTGTCCAAGCTCCCTTTCTTGGCAGGGGCCAGTCGGGGCAGCCTCTATGGCCCCTCCTCTGACCCTGCATGGAGCCTGAGGTGCCGTCTCCTTTCCCTCCAGCTGCTCTGTAGGCTCCTGAGAGGCTGGTGG